AAAGATCAGAAAGAGAAATTAAGGGAACAATCCCACTTACCATCGCGACAAAAAGAATAAAATACCTAGTAATAAACCTAACTTAAGCAGACAAAAGACCTGTATGCAGAAAACTATAGACACTAATGAAAGAAATTAAAGATGATACCAACAGGGTTTCCCTGGTGGCGCAGTGGTTGAGAGTCCTCCTGCCGATTCAGGGGACACGGGTTCGTGCCTGGTCCAGGAAGATCCCACATGCCACAGAGCAGCTGTACCTGTGAGCCATGTCCACTGAGCCTGCGTGTCCGGAGCCTGTGCTCCGCAATGGGAGAGGCCACAACAGTGAGAGGCCTGCATACCGAAAAAAAAAAATGATGATACATACAGATGGATAGATATGTTCTTGTTCTTGGATTGGAAGAATCAACATTGTGAAAATGACTATACTACCCAAAGCAATCTACAAATTCAATGCAATCCCTATCAAACTACCACTGGCATTTTTCACAGAACTAGAACAAAAAATTTCACAATCTGTATGGAAACACAAGACCCTGAATAGCCAAAACAATCTTGAGAAAGTAAAATGGAGCTGGAGGAATCAGACTCCCGCACTTCAGACTATACTACAAAGCTACAGTAATTAAGACAGTATGGTACTGGCACAAAAACAGAAATATAGATCAATGGAACAGGATAGAAAGCCCAGACATAAACCTACACACATATGGTCCACCTTATCTTTGATAAAGGAGGCAAGAATATACAACAGAGAAAATACAGCCTCTTCAATAAGCAGTGCTGGGAAAACTGGACAGCTACATGTAAAAGAATGAAATTAGAACACTCCCTAACACCATACACAAAACTAAACTCAAAATGGATTAAAGACCTAAATGTAAGGCCAGACACTATAAAACTCTTAGAGGAAAACATAGGCAGAAGACTCTATGACATACATCACAGCAAGATCCTTTTTGACCCATCTCCTAGATAAATGGAAATAAAAACAAAAATAAACAAATGGGACCTAATGAAACTTAAAAGCTTTTGCACAGCAAAGGAAACTACAAACAAGATGAAAAGACAACCCTCAGAATGGGAGAAAATATTTGCAAACGAATCAACGGACAAAGGATTAATCTCCAAAATATACAAGTAACTCATGCAGCTCAATATAAAAAAAAAAAAAAACCTAATTCAAAAATGAGCAGAAAATCTAAAAAGACATTTTCCAAAGAAGATATACAGGTTGCCAACAAACACATCAAAGGATGCTCAACATCACTAATCATTAGAGAAATGCAAATCAAAACTACAATCAGGTATCACCTCACTCTGGTCAGAATGGCCATCATCAAAAAATCTACAAACAGTAAAGGCTGGAGAGGGTGTGGAGAACAGGGAACCCTCTTGCACTTTTGGTGGGAATGTAAATTGATACAGCCACTATGGAGAACAATATGGAGTTTCCTTAAAAAACTAAAACTAAAACTACCATATGACCCAGCAATCCCACAACTGGGCATATACCCTGAGAAAACCATGATTCAAAAAGAGTCATGTACCACAATGTTCATTGCAGCTCTATTTACAATAGCCAGGACATGGAAGCAACCTAAGTGTCCATCAGCAGATGAATGGATAAAGAAGATGTAGCACATATCTTCAATGGTATATTACTGAGCCATAAAAAGAAATGAAATTGAGTTTCTTGTAGTGAGGTGGATGGATCTAGAGACTGTCATACAGAGTGAAGTAAGTCAGAAAGATAAAACAAATACTGTATGCTAACACATATATATGGAATCTTAAAAAAAAAATGGTTCTGAAGAACCTAGGGGCAGGACAGGAATAAAGACGCAAATGTAGAGAATGGACTTGAGGACACGGGGAGGGGGTAGGGTAAACTGGGATTAAGTGAGAGTGGCATGGACGTATATATACACTACCAAATGTAAAATAGATAGCTAGTGGGAAGCAGCCACATAGTACATGGAGATCAGCTTGGTGCTTTGTGTCCACCTAGAGGGGTGGGATAGGGAGGCTGTGAGGGAGATGCAAGAGAGAGGAGATATGGGGATATATGTTTATGTATAGCTGATTCACTTTGTAATACAGAAGAAAGTAACACACCATTGCAAAGCAATTATACTGCAATAAAGATGTTAAGAAAAAAAAGAATCAGACTGCCAATGCAGGGGACACGGGTTCCAGCCCTGGTCCGGGAAGATCCCACATGCCGCAGAGCGACTAAGCCAGTGTGCCACAACTACAGAGCCTGAGCTCTAGATCCCGCAAGCTACAACTACTGAGCCCTCGTGCCACAACTACTGAAGCCCATGCACCTAGAGCCAGTGCTCTGCAACACTGCAGAGAGAAGCCACTGCAATGAGAAGACTGCACACCACAATGAAGAGTAGCCCCCGCTCACCACAACTAGATAAAGCCTGCGTGCAGCAATGAAGATCCAATGCAGCCAAAAATAAATAAATAAAATAAGTAAATTTATATAAAAAAAGAAATGACAGTGAGAAAATAGTTTTAATAATAAACTTCGACAACTGATGAGATGAATAAACAAGGAGGATGACTGTGAGGCTTTAATTGGCTGGTGGTTGGTGATGTGATTGGCAATGATTGGTAAGTCAGAGAGGGTAACTGTTAAGGAGGAAAGAAAAGGCCACAAATCTGGTTTTGACGTACTCATTTTGTTATAATAATTATTGATTATTTACTGAGTAGGAACATTTATCTTTGTTTCAAGTCAAAACAAGTATTCCTTTGTAAAGATTTAGGATTAAACATTGAAGTATTAGTATTTCTTTCAATTTAGATGTATTTCTCCCACTAAATATTTAATCAAAATTTGCAGTAAGCTTGCTTTCAGAGAATGAAATGAGGGATATTAAAAGTAGGGGTAATGATATTGCATAATTGTAAATTATCAATAGGAGATGATGATAAGCATGTTGTCCCAATATACAAGGAAGCTCTAGAGGCAGAATAAAAAGGACAGCTCCCTCCTAATATTTCATTTTGTGCCCTTTCCTTCAGTTAAGCTCCCAGTCACATATATGGGACGTGGATTTTCCTAGCCCCTGCCTCCTGTAGCCAGGGTTTCCTCTGCGGTAATGAGATGCAGCCTCAGAGAAAACAAAGCAGGCTCCTAACTTGTTTCCCCTCTGCGGCAGGTGTGGTGCCCCACCAGCTGGTGCTTCCAGACAGAGGGAGGAGTTGAGCTCAAAAGCTCACTACACTGTTGGTGGGAATGTATTGATAAATTGGTGCAGTCACAGTGGAGAACAGTATGGAGATTCCTTAAGAAACTAAAAATAGAGCTACCATATGATCCTGCAATCCCAATCCTGGGCATATATCTGGAGAAAACCATAATTTGAAAGGATGTATGCCCTCCAATGTTCATTGCAGCACTATTTAGAGTAGCCAAGACATGGAAGCAACCTAAGTGTCTATCGACAGATGAATGGATAAAGAAGCTGTGTGGTATATACACAATGGAATATTACTCAGCCATAAAAAGAATGAAATAATGCCCTTTGCAGCAACATAGATGGACCTAGAGATTATCATACTAAGTGAAGTAAGTTAGACAGAGAAAGACGAATATCATATGGTATTACATTTGTGTGGAATCTAAAAAAATGGTACAAATGAACTTTTTTACAAAGCAGAAATAGACTCAAAGACATAGAAAACAAACTTATGGTTACCAACGGGGATGGGGTAGGGGAAAGATAAATTAGGAGTTTGGGATTAACATATTCACACTACTATGTATAAAATAGATAATGAATAAGGACCTACTGTATACCATAGGGAGTTATATTCAATATCTTGTAATAACCTGTAATGAGAAAAGAATCTGAAAAAGTGCATATATATATATATATATAACTCAATTACTTTGCTGTACACCTGAAACTAAGACAACATTGTAAATTAACTATACTGCAATAAAAAAAAAAAGGTTAACAAAATAAAATAAATAAAATGAGGGGGGCCATGTATCCTTAGGCTACCATCTGGGAAAAAAAGCCCACTGCAAACTGAGAGACTATGAAAATAGTCAATAGATAGGTGAAGGGGGTCCAAAGTTACAGACTTCCAGCTATAAAATAAGTCCAGGGGATATAATGTACAGCATGGGGATTATAGTTAATAGTACCGTATTGCATATTTGAAAGTTGCTAAGAGGGTAGATCTTAAAATTTCTCATCACAAGAAAAAAAATAGTTTTTTGTAACTATGTGTGCTGACAGATGTTAACTAGACTTATTGTGGTGATCATTTCATAGTATATACTAACATCAAATCATGTTGCACAGTTGAAGCTAATATAATGTTATATGTTAATTATATTTCAATTAAAAAAAAAAGAAAATGGCCAACACAGTGGGGCAGGAATACCTTTCCAGTGTCATTCATTCCTGGCAAGAGTGACATGCTGAGACCTGGTGGAAGGCAAAGCCTCCACCTACCATAGGCACAGGTTAAAAGTAATGATCCTTCATCGCAGGTCTAAGAAAGGACTTGCGGTAATTTGGGGTATTTAGGTTATGGTACCAGGCTCCGTCTTAAGGTTGGGGCTGATTTTTCTGGCCGAGGTCAGCTGTGTGTTTGTTCTCTCCACCTGTACTGGATGCTGTTGCAACACGCAGCCTCCCCGGCCCCCTCCCTCCTCATCGCAACTTAGGCTAATGCTTCACTAGCCTTTGCGGAAGAGTTGGCTTCGCAGGAGAAGGGTTGAGCTGGGCCAGAAAGGAGGAGCTTAGACCTGTGTGCAAAACCTGGGAACCTGACTAAACATTAGTCCGGGGCCAGGATGAGGACAAAGAGACTGGAAAGACATCCCGCCCCCCTGGTAAGAAAGCCCCGTGATCAGCTCCAGCCCCTGGCGGTCCTGCCATCCTCGGAGCTTAAATAAAGGGACAATTGGAGCCGAGATGTCACAGTTCTGACCCTTCAGGCTTGGACCACCGGGCACCCCCGACACCATGAGTTGGTCCTCACACCCCCGGAGTTTAATCCTCTGCTTCTACACTCTTTAATTGCTCTCTTCAACATGCCTGGCAGTAAGTGTGCTGTTTATAAAACGTATTTGCTTTGAACGGAAAGCTTAAAAATATGAAAATATACGATAAACTAGTGAAATGTCTGTATTTTCCTCCTCTAGTATATTGCTACCCGAGACAACTGCTGCATCTTAGATGAAAGATTTGTAAGTAGTTTTTATGTTTCTCGCTGTGTTTGCACTGGACGTGGGCAGAGAAATAAAAGAAATTCTCTCATTTGGCAGTTTAGACTTTTTTTTTTTAATGTAGTCTAGGTTTTACCTATTTTGATTAGTAGATCTTATGCAGCTTTTTATCAGGATTTTAAAGCACTCTATTATTGTATTTTCAGGGTAGTTATTGCCCAACTACCTGTGGAATTGCAGATTTCCTGTCTACTTACCAAACCAGTGTAGACAAGGATCTACAGAATTTGGAAGGCATCTTACGTCAGGTTGAGAACAAGACATCAGAAGCCAGAGAGTTGGTCAAAGCAATCCAGATCAGCTACCGCTCTGATGGACCAGCAAAGCCAAGTGAGAATCTAACCACCACTGACTGAGAACTTCATCTGTGAAGTTCTTTTTCTGTTATTTCAGTGGTTCTGTTTGTTCACGTATTTTTATGTCTCTGATCCCATGTTACAGATGGGATAGAGAGTGCTACCAAAATTTCCAAGAAAATGTTGGAAGAAATTATGAAATATGAAACATTGATTTCAACACATGAATCAACAGTTCGGTAAGCATTTTTTGTTTCAATTTGCTCTCCAAGACTGAGCTAGTGTTTACTCAATATTCCAAGCTTCAGTAGAAGAAATCTTTTTATTTTTTTCTACTTGTATCTAATTGACATGATGCCTGACCATCTTGAACACAGTGGAGATAGAAGTATTTAGGCAATATGAGTTGTATTGGACTGTAATTGCTTTTTAATAATGATGTAGAAAAAAATAATCATGTGGGAGAAAGATGTTTTAGGTGTCTTCAAATGCTTTATGACCGTATTTACCAAAACGTTTCCCCTCACCCCATTTGTCTTACAATGTAAATTCAAACTGATGGGAATATGAATGTTGAAAATAAAATTCTTTTTATAAGAATGTCAACAAATGTGTGGTGAGGAATTTGTAAGCAGAGACATAGGAAGGATCTTGGCCGCAAAAGTAAATTATACTGAAGGCAGAGCAGAAAAAAATGTGTTTTAAGAGATAAGTGTAACAAACATTGTAAAGCTACCTGTTGATCATGGAACCTGCAATTACGTATTCTCCTCCCTTCTCTTGAAAGTAAAATGTCTCTGTTAACAACTTCCCAGGGACTTGTAGACTTTCTGAACATAGGGTCTCAGATACAGTTTTAGTTTCTTCCTCAATTTTTTTCCTAAATTGTTCTCAAAGTAGTATAAGAAACTGAGATAAATGGTGGCTGAGGAAAAGTGGCCCAGGAGGGATTTATCCTCTTTTTGATATCAGAGGGCTATTATTATTATTGTGATATTATTAACATTAGGATTTGCATTATTATTGCCCATCATTGAAGTTGAAGGAGACTACAGTGTAGACATTTTCTAAGGCGCAGTAGAGAAAAACGTGGTCAAATAGCTTGTCTATCCTGAACCTCAAAGAAAGAGATGACAGTCTACGTACTGTAGGTAGTTTTCTGTCATTTCTGAATATGTACAAGCAACCCTGTGAGAAACAACAAAAGCAGGATTTTTCACTTCCCCCAGCCTTTTTCGGAAGCTATGTAAATAGAAACACTAAGAAGAAAGGGAAAATGTCTGTTATTTTATTTTAGGTAAGGTAGTGCCCCAGGTACTTTTCCTATGTAAGTTATAAGATTGAAGTCCATAAACAGATCCTCAGTAAATCCACAAGTGAAAAGGAATAATGCTTCAGCACATGTGAATTTCAGAACAGGGCCTTTCCTTCCCTAAGAATATTGTCCCAAGAATAATCACCAGATGGTCTTCCTATTAATCAGGTCATCACTTGTGTACATCGTTATCTGCTGCCCTTTATGCAAAAGATACAATTCAGAAAGGCCACTTAACAATGATACTGTTTATTGGCAAGGGCCCTGTTATTTTCTTTTCCAAAAAGTTTAGAATTTTAATTCACCTCAATTTATTTATTAACATCATTTTACACTTTTTCCAAGAATGGAGTAATTTATCAGGAAATAATTCTTGAGAAAATAAGGTGGTATTTTTTAAAGAATATACAAAATTATTCCTCTAAAAGGAATACTCGGTTATCTTATTATTTTGCTTATAGATTTTTGCAGGAAATATATAATTCAAATAATCAAAAAATCATCAACCTGAAACAGAAAGTGGTCCAACTGGAAGCAAAGTGTCAGGAACCTTGTCAAGATACAGTGAAAATACATGATACAACTGGGAAAGGTAAGTGAAAGTTTTATATTGGGATTAAGTTCATCAGAGCAAATATAAAAAGTAAAGGAGATTGTATGTATTGGAATGTATACAAATACATTGGAAAATGTCTAGCTATTAAATCTAAACAGTCTGCTTAGACTTTTCTTGAGTAGCTAAAAAAAATACTTTAAAGGAATAATCACGTGAGAAGAAAGAAAATACTTCTCAGGAAATGAATAGTTTACGACATGTTAAAAATTTCATTTTCAAGGCTGGAACAGTCTTACCTGGATTTCAAACCACCACAAACATTTCTTCTTTTTCAGATTGTCAAGACATTGCCAATAAGGGGGCCAGAGATAGTGGGCTTTACTTTATCAAACCTCTGAAAGCTAAGCAGCAGTTCTTAGTCTACTGTGAAATTGATGGGTCTGGAAATGGATGGACTGTGTTTCAGAAGGTATTTTTTCCCACAACAAATGTATTTAATAGACACCTAATTGTTCTGCTATATGCCCGATACGTTTCCAATCACCTTGTGAACATTAACTCAATTAACACTCACAACTTCCCTTTGCGGTAGTTTTTGCCTTCTTATCCCTATTTACAGAGGAGGAAACAGGCACAAGAAGCTGAGTATCAATAACTTGCCCAAAGTCACATAACTAATAAGTAACAGAGTAAGGATATAGTCTGGTTTCAGTCGGTGCTGTGACTCTCTACTATGCTGGCCCTGCTGTTGTAGATTCATGATGGCACATAATCACAATATCATAGGACAAAGAACTCGAAGAGACCTCTCTTGACAGGTACATCAAGACCTAGGGTTGCCCATCACAAGAAGATGATGTCACCCAGAGGATACACTGAGGCTGTTCCAAGACCAGGACCCTCTATTGCCTTTGCCAGCTCCAGGCACCCACTGCAAATCCTCTTGCATTGTTTACCTTTGACCACTGTTATAACTAATCCTGCAGGGGGCACTCAGAGCCAGTGAGTGATGAGAGCTCTGGCTGGTAGACACAGGTTGAGCAATAGGTTGATCTTTCTACCATCAGTACAAGAATCAGGAATATCAAGCTGGTGTTCTGGAGTCTTCTAGGAGTCTTTTAAAAACTACTAGTCTTGAGTTTCCCTTGTGGTGCAGTGGTTAAAAATTCGCCTGCAGATGCATGGGACACGGGTTCATACCCCGGTCCGCGGAGGGGCTGGGTCCGTGAGCCATGGCCGCTGAGCCTGCGCGTCTGGAGCCTGCGCAATAGGAGAGGCCACAACAGTGAGCTGCCCGCGTATGGCAAAAAAAAAAAAAAAAAAAAAAAAATACTCCCACACTTCAAAGCCGCCATCATATAAACACTAAGCTTGGTCAACAAGAATTTGCATTTTAAAAAAAAAAAAAAAAAAAGAAACTACTAGTTTTATAACTACTAGTAGTTATAGTAGTTAAAACTACTAGTTTATAGTTTTAAAACTACTAGTTTATAATTTATCATGTGCCAGTCGCTCTTTTAAGTACTTTTACATTCTCTGGTGTAATCCCTGCAACAACCCTAAGAAGTAAGCATCATTATTCCTACTTGATAGGTGAGAAAACTGAAGCAGCTAGCCCAGGGTCACTTAGTAAATGATGAAATCATACCCTCCATATTTTGGACAAAATGTTTATAATATTTTTTTATGTGCACTGATAATCCACTCTCTCCTTTTGCCCATACAATTGTGTAATCAGAGGCTTGATGGCAGTGTGAATTTCAAGAAAAACTGGATTCAATATAAAGAAGGGTTTGGACATCTGTCTCCTACCGGAAACACAGAATTTTGGCTGGGAAATGAGAAGATTCATTTGATAAGCACACAGTCTACCATCCCATATGTATTAAGAGTGCAGTTGGAGGATTGGAATGGCAGAACCAGGTATTATTAGAAAGGACTTTTTTTTTTTGCCGTAGAGACAGTCTGGAGTATGCACTTTCCAGCTCTCAACAGAACAGTGGGGAAGACAGTCTGACAGATGCGAAGAGCACATCCAGCTATGTTCTCCAGAAGTCAGTTTGGTTCTTGGGCAGTCCGAGTTGCTAGGTCCTATTTAGGCAGGATCTAAGTGTTCTGGTACAATCCACTTACCCTGGAACCATACAAAATAATAGCTAGTATTTCCTGAGCATTTAATATGTACCATAAATTGAACATGAAATTATAATTTAATCTAATCCAAATAACTGTTTCATGAGGCAGGAACTACTATTAATCCCATTTTACAGATTAATATTTCCACGGTCGCATCGTTGGTATATGGTAAAGGTTGGATTTAAACTCAGGTAGTTTAACTCTACAACCCATCCTCTTAGTGATTATCCTTGTTGAAGAGTGAATCTAGCTTCTTCAGATTTCCCAGTGCTTTAATGACCATTCAGTCAGTCAAATCCAGGAGCTACTTTAAAATGAAACCAGCTGGCTTCTTTGGTGAGCTAGAGCTGTCTGGGCACTTTGAGGGCTGTATGCCTAATTAAAAATAAAGACAATATCCAACCCTCTTGTTACGTCTATGGCATGATGAAATATAGTCTGTGCCCAAATACGTATTTTTAATTTTTTAAGTTTTTAACCAGAAAGTATAATACCATAGTCAGTAAACCCCCTATGAGAACATCTCCTATATCCCAAGTCCTAGAGATCAGGGAAGCTAAATGTTTTCTGGAAATCTCTGTTCATGCACCAAAGCCCATTCTTCCCTGAACTCCATAGAATTCTGGCCCTCATTCACAACTTTTTTCCAGGGGAGAATCTCTCTCTGATCCTATAGCTCATGTTTTGTGGGCCATACAGGGAACTTCTATTTTATGATGCTTGAGGAAACCCTCCTTCTTGTCACTGCTACACTGCCTTGCAAAAGGAAAACCCCTTTAGGACTTCACAGTTTAGATGGTATGAGTGGCTAATGGAACTGTAGCTCCTTCAAGTTTGCTGCATTGTTTGTCACTCACTGCCAGATAATTAATGTGGTTTATGAGAACTGTGTGTACATACTGAGATAAAAGTGGAAAATATGAAATTAGTCAGGTTCATCCACATATCTGGGTTGGATATTAAGATCCTATAGGCAAAAAGCATTCAGATGGCTGAAATTTTTAGTCTTCCTGGGACTAGAAGCCTTCCTTGAAGGCTTCTAGACCCATCCTGAGTGGTGTGGGTTCCCTCATCCATTTTCCCTTGCCAGATTTGCAGAAAATTTTATTCAATGAGCACATTTCAGATTAAGAAGCAAAGTTAAAAATTCCAAACAATTGTCCTATGAAAGAGAAAACTTCTGAGATGCCTTCTGAGACTCAGGGTCTAAGGTCTCTATTCCCTTCTTTGTAGTACTGCAGACTATGCTACGTTCAGGGTGACAGGTGAAAACGACAAATACCGCATGACATATGCCTACTTCATTGGTGGAGATGCTGGAGATGCGTTTGATGGCTACGATTTTGGCGAGGATACTAGTGACAAGTTTTTCACATCCCACAATGGCATGCAGTTCAGTACCTGGGACAATGACAATGATAAGTTTGAAGGCAACTGTGCTGAACAGGATGGATCTGGTTGGTGGATGAATAAATGTCATGCTGGCCACCTCAATGGAATTTATTACCAAGGTATGGCTTCCTTCCTTAGATGCATGAATTTGTGCATAGTCTATATTTTTATAAAAGGTAATAAATAAATATAAGGAAATGAATAAAGATATTGAGGGCTTATTATATAGTTCTTTATTTTAAACCAGAATTGAATACTGCTAGCTTATACCTGAAATTGGTCCTTCTACAAGAAATCCAACTGCTGCAAACTATGCAGTGGTATTCATCGTGCCTCCATCAGAGTTGATACTTTGGGTTATGGTGTCTCCTCTAGGCTTACCATATATATGATCTGGATGGACTAACATTACCATGTTTATGCTTGTTAACACAGTAGCTTGGTTCAGCTCCCCATGAGCTATGTGTCAGATAGATCCAGTAAGCAGTGAGTAGGTGTCTGGAGGAATTAAGCAAAAAGCAGGGATGTATTGGTGAGGGCAGATGTCCATGAAAGCTTAAGAGGAGAGAGTCCAGCCTGAGGAGTGTAGACACTTATTTTAGGACAAGGGGAGGGCAAGCTATAGTTTGCTCTAAGACTGGAGTAGTTCTGAGCACTGGTTTTACTTACTGAAAAACTATTGTAACTACCTAACAGGTATGCATGGGGAAACGCTCATCTATTAAAATGAGCAATCTTCCCTCCTTAGGGCACTGTCCTAGCCAAGAGGTGACTTGGAATCCTCTTGAAAACTACTTAAACTTGCCTTTTGGTTTTCACAATGTCTTTTTTTTTTGAAACCTAACTTAGCTTTGCACCAACAAACCATGTAATTAGAAGAAGCTCTCAGGGAAGGTGCCTGATCCATATGATCCAGAGGAGCCATGTTGATAGCTTGTGGTACCCTCCAGTACTAGACTCCGACAATCCCTTACAAAATCACATGAGATCTAGTGTCCAGCAACGAGGTGAAGGCACTTCAGCCTAGCCTCCACTTTATAATGGAGATGTAAAATAACATTCCAGAACTGAGCTCCTCGTATTTTCCAGTAAAATTGTGTTTTTCAGATAACATGAGATCATCTGATGAGGAATTATGACCTGTTTTCAGAAAGGTGGTCCATCACAGCTGAATTCAGGATGGTTAAACTCAGGGAGAGAGACCAATTGGGGAAATTTGGGGTTCTAATCCTGTTAGCAGTGAATACATTTAAAGTATGGATGTGACCAGAAAGCACAACACAGCTGTAAGAGTTTGTTTAATAATAAGTTTATGTCAATTGTAAATGGAGAATTTAGGAGTCTTTAAGGATATTTTCAGTTAGTAGATAAAGCTATAAAATCTGATGTAAATGACAGTGGACTTCATAATAGACAGTTCTTTATAGACTTTCTGAGGGGAAGAGATTCAAGAGCAGTGATATGTGCATCTACAATTTGTTTTAGGCGGCACTTACTCAAAGACATCTACTCCTAATGGTTATGATAATGGCATTATTTGGGCCACTTGGAAATCCCGGTGGTATTCAATGAAGAAAACCACCATGAAATTAATCCCATATAACAGAATCGCCATTGGAGAAGGACAGCAACACCACCTTGGGGGAGCCAAACAGGTCAGACCAGAACACCATGTTGAAATAGAATATGACTAAGTCATTTTACCCTGAGGATTAGCTGTTCATTTCTGTTAACCCACAAAGTTTCAGAAACTTTTATGAAATTTTCTTCCCATTTTCTCTTACTATATTTATTAATTTTAAGTCTTTTACTAAGAATAGTTAGCCTTGAATGGCAATTAAAACTCACTTTGGACTGTATTCCCAAATGACTGAATGCAGAATTATTTAAAATTTGTTTATTTAATGAGATAATAATATTTTAGCTTATTTCCTAAAGAATGTAATAAAATCATTGTGATAGTTTGCATTTTAATGATCACACATCATTGTGTCTTGGTGATTTTTTAAATTATTTCTTAAATAGTTTAGTATATACTAATATAATAGGAGCAAACTCTAGCATTTCAAATGACTAAGTAGTTTTTCCATATTTATTACCCCTAAATCATTCATATTTAATTATTCTTTTTAAATGGAGATAATTATATCTTTTTAATATATTTTTTGTTTTGGTCATAGGCTGGAGATGTATAAAAGACCATTTCAAAAGTGATTTACTTATAAAATGACTCTATCTAAAAAGAAAAATATAATATTTTTCCTATGGGACAATGGACTTGCAAAGCCTCACTTCATTTTAAGAGTAAAAAGAACCCATGCTGAAAACTCCACTAACAGTTTTATGCTGGTTGTAATTTGTCTATACACCATTTCAATAAACATTTTGTTTCCTAAGACTAGATACATGGTACCTTTTATTTACCATTAAAAGCCATCACTTTCCTTCAATTTAATGATTGCAGTTGGACAATCATCAGTAGTTGCTCAGTGTTCACTTTATGCTAAACATTGTACCTGACCCTTGGGAAGTTATGAAGGAAATAGAAATCATGGCTTTTGCCCTCCAGGGATTATAAGACAAATACAGTAACCCAAAATGACAAAATTTGATATAAAAACATAAACACATGTCACAGTCACATAACTCAGGTTCATAGTACCCCAGTGCAGCTGGAGACATAAGGCTGTTTGGGGATTCTCCCAGTAAATCCTTTTAGCTCCGGGCTCCTGTGGCCATATGTGGGCACTTGGAGAGGATTATAACTCAGAACAGAGAGCTCGAGGGAACAATCTGCTCAGCACCTCATTGCTGAACAAGTTGAGCAGAATGAAACCATTATTGCAGTAGCCAGAGATCAGGAATCACTAACTTTCTGTAAGGAATAGCTGCATTTACATTAGTTGGCATAAGGTTGAACATGAAAAGTAATTGACTAATTTTATGGGGTTGTGGGGGGAGGTCTGGTTGTTCTGAAGTCCTGAGCATTGGCTTTGGATTCTCTTCCTTTTCACAATTTCTTTCCTAATTCTTTCACTTCCTTGTTCTCATAAGTTCTGATTTTAAAAGCATCCTATTGAGGAGATAAAAACCAGTTAAGTAAACTTTTATGTATACAGTCAAATACTTGTGAGGCTTTGGGAAAATAGGAACATTGATTCATTGTCTGTAGCACTCATTCATTCATGTATGTATGAGGCATTCTTTCAACTAACATTTATTGACTTCCTTCATTGTACTAGCCCCTGTGCTGGGTATATAGCACATAGTAGCATCCTCCTTTCTCCCAGTACTGTTCTATTCCATCCAGTTCTCAAGTTCCAAAAAAACAGCCATAAGTCTTGCTTATTCCTCCCTCCCCATATCATCAAGCCTGTCAAATCCACCTCCTAAATATTTATTATATTCATTTCCTTCTCTATGCCAACTGCCACCGTTCTAGTTGGGATATATATCTCTTGCCAGGATAATGGCAAATGCCTCCTTCCTGTTTTCCATCTTGCTTTCCAGGCTTACCTGTTCCCACCTCATCATGCTCCAAACCCCTTCTAAATTCAGAATGCATATAGTCTACCCTTTGAGAATCTATAAAATCCTTTGGGTGAGCAATTTGGTCATAGACAGGACGAGTTATGTAAATATTCATAAGTTTAAATGCAATAATATCACTCTAATGATTTATCCCAAGAAAATTATTTTTGAGAAAGAAAATAGCTCTTTATAGAAATATAGATAATATTTAAATATTAAATAAATATTTAATTACAGTGGGAAATTTAGAAAATATTTAACCGTGGAAAAATGGACAAGCAAGGTGGTTTATTAGTACAATGGAAGAGAATGCAATGATTACATAATAAGTATAATATCTCTGTATGAGCATAGAGACATTTACTAAATAATATGTGAAATTTTAAGATGAAAAACAATTCTACAATAAGTATGTAAAAGTATATATGCATACACTTTTGAACAAAATGTAATCTTGACATGCATGCATTATTTGTATATATTTGTTCTCCCCAATCGATTTATAAAATTTAATAAAAATACTAAACAAAATAAATATAAACAAGTCCAAAAGTTTCTGATTTTTCCCATGATCACTTTTCCAATGCTTCTTCTGAAATACCAATTGTAACATTCTTTCATAAACATTTTGGAAGCCCCTGTTTTTGTGAGTGTCCAGAGTACATATATGGTCTGCATGTTGGGTAATTCAGGATTGATTAGTGGGAAGGGGCTTCTAACTTTCTCCTTCTATACCTCTGCATTGTTTGATTTATTATAATGAGTACGTTGTTAGTTGTAGTTAATTTAAAACCCAATTAGGTAGAGATAAAAAGGTGAATTTCAAATTTTTACTTGTTTAGTTATTAATATTCAATGGTGAACATTGAAGGGTTATAGCTTAAGAAATGAAGCAAGATATGTACTTCCACACTCAATTGGATCGTGTCTCCACAAATAAAATAGAAATGAAAGGATTATCTTGACAAATCAACTTTTAAAAATTTACTTTTAAGTGAAACACAGAGTTTGGAGCCTCCTAGCGACAGATTATTTTTCTGCACAGCTCAAATCACAGATAACTATTACCCGACCCTTCCCTTCACTTTCCGGGCACACAAAACTCAGGTCACTGCAAAATAGGGCAGCTAAGTACAAAACAGATGTGCATGATCACACACTTTGAAAAACCCACAGAGGGAAGTTTCCAAAAAGGAGGGTACTGGTACAGATGCACTGGTACTATGACTTCAGGTCACGAACTACAGGGCAGAGTTCTTTAATCAGCAGACAGGAACAGTCATTTATTGGACAATATCAAATTTTTAAAATATACCTCTGAAGTTCTATAGCTTTTTTTCAATTCTTTGCTATGTTTAGTAGTTTGGCTTTAAAGATCATGTTTCAGATTTGTGGGTAGGCTGAAAGTGAGTGGGAAGTGAAAACGTGTAAGTATAGACAGCATATTTGAGAACTTACAAGGTCTAAAATTCTTAACTCTGAACAGTATAAACTAAGCCAAGTTATACATAGTAGGTATCTTTGTAGATATAAATTCAGGTGATTGGAGTGAAAAACAAAATACACATTTAACCCTGGGGAAAATTAATCTACTGATGATTTCTTATCAGTTTGATGCAGCTCAAAAAGAATGGGGAAAAAAGAGTTAAAGATAGTAAGATGAGTTAAAGTAGATGGAAAATACTAAGTTGATGATAAAGAGACCAAGAGTGTGGGAAAGACTGTTTCATGTACCTTTCCCGTGTGTGTGTGTGTGTGTGTGTGTGTGTGTGTGTGTGTGTGTGTGTCCCAGAGACAGAAGTTAAATTAGTCATACTTCTGGCACACCATTCACATTCATATGTGCTGGGTCACTCTGATTCTTCCCTTTAATCCCTTAATAATCAACCATTGTAATAGATTTGATGCATGTTTATTTGTACATATTCTTATAAATCATGGGTTGTTTGTGCTATGTATTTTTAAATTATATAAATGGCATCGTGCTATACATCATTATTTCTAAGAATGCTGATCCACAAATTTTTTGTTAGTCAGCATTATAGGTAAAACAATTGAGAATTAGCATGTAGAAACATTTTTCCTATATTATGTATGTGATGATTGTATTTATTCAAATGTAATTATATGTCTTTGGAATCTAATAATAAAAAATGGCCTATATTTTTGCTTTTTTACATTTTATTTTACTAGAAATTATTTTTATTGCATTTTATAAGCTAATAGGTCTGTGACTGATTAGAAATTTAATAAAACTGGTCGTTTAGAACAAACACTTTGAGAAACACTATTAAGGTCTTCATTGTATTTATTACTTTTTCCATTCAGCACCATTAAGATCTACCCACAATCTGAGTATTTTGTAACTTCCTGTGATCTCCTTTTGAACTGAAGACTTAAAAAGTGAATATAATTTGGTTCCAAAGCTTGTGCTTTTTAAAACTGTATTTTTTTTTTTTTCGGTACGCTGGATTCTCACTTTTGCAGCCTCTCCCGTTGCGGAGCACAGGCTCCGGACGCACAGGCTCCGGACGCACAGGCTCAGCAGCCATGGCTCACGGGCAGCTGCTGCGCAGCATGTGGGATCGCACAGGCTCGCAGCCATGGCTCACGGGCAGCTGCTGCGCAGCATGTGGGATCTTCCCAGACCGAGGCACGAACTCGTGTCCCCTGCATCGACAGACAGACTCTCAACCACTGTGCCACCAGGGAATCCCTAAAATCGTATTTTTAATTAACATCTAAGTTCATTTCATTATGGTCAAAGAACATAATTTTGATGATACTGATTCTTGAGAGACAGTTCAAAAATTACTTTGGGACATAGGAATTATCAGAGAATTAATTGGCCCCATAAAAGTGTACATAAATCATAACCACTCTCCAATAATGATCTGCATCCAATAAGAGTATTAATATTTTTTTTCCTTTAAGAAGGAAAATGAACTAAAGATAGATAGTGATTGGCCTTGTAAACATGAGCTTTGGCCCAAATGGCCTTGTAGCCATGGCCCGTTATAAGCATCGATAATAGGTTTGACCACTGACTTGTAGAACACACCTTTGTTGCAGGTTTGAAAGCCTTTTGGGAAGGCTAGCTGGTGAAATTTCAAGCTCTTGTTCATCTCAGTTTCATTGGGAAATATTTGAAAGTCCAAATGGA